TATCGATATATCGTTTGTTTTATTGATATTTATTTTTAGATATTTTCTTTTCAAATCGCTCTTAAACTCAATTTCAATGCATTAAATAAACATTGAATAAGACTTACATTTCGTAAACATAATTAAGCAAAAAACCGCACTTTAGACTTAAGACCCATTAAATTGTTTGAAAAATAAAACTAAATGCAATTCAATTCATACCTTTGTTGTGATCTTAAGCTTAAGTCCATCGCCAGAGATGTTAACTTTGGCGCAATTATGCCATTCCTCGGCCCAATCGGACTCCCAATTATGAGACATCATTCCCTTCTTGACTGCAATCACCCGTTTGTCAGTCAATATGATTAAAGCGCCGGCGTTTAGTTGGCAGTGAATCACATAGTTATCCGACATATACTTTCCGTTTTCCATTTCTCTTACAATTGTAGAGCCTTTCGTATTAAAAGCACACAATAAGTAAAACTAAACTAAATTTAAGGCCAAAATAAGTCCAAACCGGTCGCGAAGTGTCGATTATAGGGCACCACTTTGCCATCGGAGCCAATATAACGGGACGGACGCATCGTTTTGGCCTCTTGTTTGGGATCGACGGCCCGTTTCACAGATTGTAGTGAACCCGACGCGAAATCTATGACACCTGTTGCCGGCTGTGCGACAATACCCACAACACCCTTTCCAACCCCTTTAAACAAACCTGAGAGAGAGAAAGAAAGAGAGAGAGAGAGAGAGAGAGAGAGAGAGAGAGCATAAAAAGTTCTCGTTTTATCGATATATCGTTTGTAAATTTAATTGATTTAATAAAAAAATGTGATTCCCGTTGAGAGCGGAGAGAGAGAGAGAGAGAGAGAGAGAGAGAGAGAGAATTTGAAAGTTCATTTAAATTACTCATTAATGAATTAGTTGATGAATTAGTTACCTTCAAAACCATCTTCTCGGGCGCCTTGAATGGGTTGTGTTATAACTCCAGTCACACCGGAAAAGACGCCTTTAAGCAAATTTTTACCGCCTTCGGCAAACCCGACCTTTCGGTTGAGTCGCGAACGGCGCTCACGTTTGAATTTATCATCCATTGTAAGCGCCGACACGCCTTCGCCCAGAGTATTAGTAATGCTTCCCAAAGCACCGGCAGCTCCGCCGACAACATTGGAGGCCAACGATTTGACACCAATGGACAGGCCTTCGGCAAACTCTCCCGGGCCCTGAATAATGCCCTGAAACGGCTCGTAGAAAAAGTCTCCGACGCCTAACATGAATGCGGATTACAGTATAATTATTACATTATATGAAAACATTAGCCGTTTAAAAACAAACCTTCTTTCAATCCGAGTACGAGTTTCATGGGATTCCCAATCAAATCAAGTCCTAAAACCAATACATAAAACTGTTTGAGCACTTGAGTGGTGTAGTGATTGGTCACAATCGATATCAGCTCTGAATTCTCGAGTAACAGACTTTTGCGCTCAAAATAATCGAGTTTGAATATAACGTCGTTAAACTCGGTTAGTGTGACACCGGCTGACCGCACGAAGAAGTCCAGCCCTAACGGCAATTGTCCGCCCGAAGCGCCGGCCATTGAAAAACTCAAATGTACTTTTAGTGGCGAGAAATGAATGTAATCGTAATAACTTTTGCGCGAAGACAGCAACGATTCTGTGATTGTATTTTTCTGTTGAAACAAAACAAAACGAAAATATTAAATACAATAGAAATAGGAAATTGAAATCTAAACACTTCATTACCAGAAGAATATCTCTGACATCTTTGGCGATCAACTTAGTGTTCTCCTCCTTCTTGACGGCCACTTCAGTCAACTCCTGAATGGCGGACAACAATCCCCTATCGATTTGTATGAGAAATTCCTGAATCAAAATAGTGTTGTATTTGAATCGATTCATTGTGGCCTGTCTTTGGATGATTGTCGACAACTCGATGAAACTCTTGGGCAAGTGTTCGACGGCAATGGTTTTTGGCGGCGCTATCGGACACATCACGATCTCAAATATATGGTCTGGCATTTGGTTATCGATTTGCAAACGATTCACTTTCATGTGAAACTGAACGATATGTTCGGACAGTGCGAGCGATACCCAAATTCCTCGGTTCGCGAGTCGTCTATAAACACAAATATTTATTAAAATTAAATATATTTTCAAAGTTTAAACACAGGAATCGTTACCTTAATTGTCCATTTTTGGGCGAAATTTGTTTGGGAGCCTCGGAGTCAGTGAAGTCTATTCGCATAAACTCATTGTCCACAACGTCTACATTTTGTCCAACTTTTTTGTTCAACAACACTGATTGATAGGAACTCTCGATGGCATCAATCGACTTAACGGGAAGCGCTTTATAACGCTTTGAATCCGTGGCTTTGAATTCCCATAAAACTGAACTACAAATTCACAAATTCAACAAATAAATTAAGTATTTCTCATTAATCTTTACATTTCAAACAATACCTCGTAATAGCGATGTAAAGGATATCCTTTTTACTATCATTATTCACAATCGAGAGACCGATTCCTTTCATTATTACCTCAACATTAATCTTGGGTTTAGTTATTTCTCCGGCCTTTCAATTATACAAAACAAACAAATAATTAAAAATTATACATTTTATAATACCGTAATATTGAATGTCTAAGAGATTATAAAAATTGATCCACTCTTTCCACAAGTGGAATAAATAACAGCAATTAATTCTTCACCTGTAATGCATTGGTTGCTAACGGATAGTCGTTTGTAAACAACAAAACCCGTTGTTTTCCTTCAAGAAATGAGACGACAAACACGCCGTTCACGTCCACTAAACCATCGCATTTCAAATCAATAGACTGTTCCTCAACTTCGGGTGCACTCATCGAGTATTCATATTTCCAGATCAGAGTTCGGTCACCAGAAGGAAAATCCCACGTATAGTGCACTGAATGGTTTGCGGGCAGAGTGTGGACGTATCTCTGTTGACCAGTCTTCGAGGCCCAAACAGTGACCCGTTTCTGGCCAAACAAAATCGGGACATTCAACGCATTCACTATCATAGCGGGCGCCGCGCCATCGAAATAATCGTTTATCTTAATGGTTGCGTCCCATTCGCTGACAT